GAAGTTTGTTAGGTTTTTTATTTCTCATTATCAAGTTGGTTGCTTTCTTAATAGATTTAACTGCAATTTCATAGCATCTCAGAGGATTCAGCTTTTTTAATGAGACTAATTAATCTTTTTTTAATATATTATTATCTATGGTAATCTTGATTGTTGTATTTAGTGTTTCCCATGATGGGTTAGACATTGCTATACAATGTAGTTCTATCTCTTCTTGCATTGCATTGTGTTGTTCTTTACTAGCCTTCTGAAACTGATAAGTTATAGTTGAGAAGAATATTCTGTTAGGTTTGTACTTAAACCAATCTAGTATTGTATCAACTTGTTTATAATCAGATAGTATGGCATACTGTTTCGAAACTTTGTAACAAAGAATTTTGCTAGCAAGATTCCTGGTGATCCAGATCTGATCAATCCTTGATACACTGGTAGATGTGGTATATGTATACAGGTGCTCCTTACTTGTAGCTTTTGCAATGTCTATGAAATTGAATAGATATTTATAGATATTTCTTTTGAAGGAGAGTGAATGTGCGTTGATCGAGGAGGCTGTTTTAGGATATGAGTTAAAGTCTCCAGCAATTATAATGTGTTTTTTGTGATATTGTTGAATAAATTTCCCAATAGAAAATACAACTATTCTCCTCATACTTCTCTCATGTGATAGATAACAGGAAATTATTATAATATTTACTTTTGATTTGAATTTGAGATATGCAGCATACCAAAATTTGTTCATTGAAAAGGTCTCGAATATATATGTGGCTGTAGCTTTAGTAAGGATAATACAGGCACCATTAGTTGTTGTATTACTTGGTTGGCTTGAGATGATTATATTATTATTTGAAGTTTTTAATAAGGGGTTTGATAGTGAGGCTTTTGTTTCTGTTGTGCACAGGATACTTCTTTCACTGTGTGAGTCCTCTTATATTGAGGGTTGTAATGTTAATAAGATTCTTTAAAGAGATATGGGGTTTATTAAAAGAGAGTTGCAAGTTGGACTGGTTTGTATTCATCATTAGATAAGTTTAGAAAGAAGAGTTATTGCTAGTTCATGTGACTCTGGTTCAATTATAAATTCAGAAGAAAGTTTGGTAAAGTGAAAGAATTTATTCAAGGTTTTGATGTTGTCATTCAGGTAAAGATTGTTTACTAGAGATAATGTAATATTGGTATTGGTTTCGAAGAGATGTTTAGTGGCTTCAGCAATATTTGATAGATCTGGTAGTAGGGAAGTAATCTACCCTCTTGGGATTTCTCTTATATATTTGTTTCTGATTTTAGTGATGGTTTGTTTAAAGTCAGGCGCTTCTCTGTTCATTTGATCTTTAGTGATATCCGATTTAGCTTTGACTGTACTGAACTTATTTGATATTCTGGGTTTGTTGAACTGGATGAGATTGTTTTTGATCCATTCTGATCCAAGAGGTAATTTGATAAAGAATTTGTACTTTAGGTTCTTGATAAGTTTGTTGACCTCTTCCTGAGTAGTAACTGATAAGGGAATAGGATTGTTTTTACTATATCAGTGAGAGGGTGAAAGTGGATGTTTTACTTTAATATAATCGAGTGGGAGTCATTTTACTGCATAGTTGTTATTTCTGAGAAGTTGAACTCATTTTTTAAAATTTTCAATACTATTATTTACAGGAAAATGTTTGGCAATATATGTTGATAAATCTTTGTATTGTCATATATCATTTCTACCTCAAGAGAAAGATAAAGACAGAGAACTAGTAGCAGGGAGATACTTTAGATGGACAGGGCCAATGTGGTATGCTAAAGTTCCTAGAGGTATACAAATTAGTACATTTCTGAGGTGTATGAGGTTAGGTGAAAGAGACAATGGTGATTTGTTTTGTAAAGGTCAAGTTATTTATTCAACAAAATATATGTTCAAGCCTGCCAATTCCTAGGTAAAATTGAAGCCTTTATATACATGTTTAAGTTATAATATTGATCATACAGAATAAATATATACTATGGTAAAAATATAAGTTAAGATATAAATACTATTTTCATCAGAATATTTAACTATAGTAGCATTTATATAGATAAATACTTTGACAAAGATAATATAGAAAGTAAAGATAAAATAAAATAGAAATGTTCTAGAAATAATAAAAGTATAATAGATACAATAGATGCCAAAGGTATAGTAACAGATCTGTAATGCAAAACTATTCTAGAATAGTTAACATTTCAAGGATTAATGCTAGTGAAAATCGGACAAGGGGTATTGAAGATCTTGAATAAAAATCAAGTGTAACAGTATATTGATAGAAGTTGGAGTTTGGATGGAGGTAAGTCGAAATATAAATCGAAAAGTTTGTTTGACATATAATAGAATTCTCTAAGCTTATCAACTTGGAACTTTAGATCTGCAAATTCACTTCTTTCTATGAGTGGAAAAAGATGTTCTGTTTCTCTGTTAAGATTTAGAGGGTCTGTTGGGAGGTCTGGTCTTTTTGCAAAATAAGAGGTAGACAATAGGTCAAAGTTATAGAATGTTCTGAGACTGCTTGTGATGTCACAAGTGTCACTGGTCTTAGTAATTGGGATTGCTTTGGAAAGTCTTATTACTATTAATATGTGAAGTTCTAATAGATTTTTCTGAATTATGGCTTTGCAAGTTTGATAGAGTTCTTGATAGTTGACTTTTTCCAGAGATGGGTCCATGAAGAAGTTGAATCTGTATTCTAATAATTGAGCTACTTGCCAGTATTTGAGAAGATTAAGGTCTGTAGATCTAAGATATGCTATGAACAGGGCCTTGTTGATCAGTTTTTTAATTTTATGCTTGATTGATCTTGTGATATAGCCCAGGTTATTAGCTTGACAATAATTGGAGTAGAATTTATCTTCAATGGATTCATATTCTTTTTGATGTTGTCTCTTGATTAACTCATTCTTGGCAAATGTTTTGAAGAAGTCTCAGTCTCAGTATTTGATTTTTGCAAAAATACCTTTCAATATCATCCTAGGGGCACCAGTTATATAAGCTTTAATTTTGAGAAAGAGACTGACTATATTTTTGGAAGTTCTGTCACAATTGTTGAAATCTTCATATAGCTCTAGTATTTTTTCTTGTTTGTCAGGTGATGTATTGTCTCTAATGTTGTTTGTATTAATGGGTATGTTATTTTGTATTGATTCTAGTGCTTTGTTGATTTCATCTGTCCAGGAGTTGAAAAGGAATTCCAGAGTTTCCACTGATTGGGTGGGAGAGGAGTGGCCATCAATTTCCATATTTGTTGTAGCTGATTGTCCTGGGTCCTGTAGTAAGTGGTGGCTGGCTATACAAGACCTTGATTGGTTTGTTGTATTGTGGGATTTTTGTTTGGTGTAGTGCTAATATTGGATTGATCTTTACTGTGTTATGGGGACACTATATAAGAGTTGGACTGATTGGCATTGTGTTCAGAAGTACTTGCATGTAGTGTTTCATCTTCACAATCAAGCTACATGCTATTGTCATTGATTCTTTCCCCAGTTAAAGCAGGTGTGTTTGGAGGGAGTATTGGCATTTCAGTTTTTTATTCCAAAAAAAAGGTTTTGACTGCTTTGTCGATATTAATATCAATTTTGTTCTAAGAGATGTGAAGCCTATAAGTGAGTTTCTGTTTGATTAATGCTTTTATGATTTCTTTTTTATCACTGTCAAATAGGCAAAAGGTGTATCGGTATTCGAAAAAAGAGTTATTACTTCCAGAGATATAGGATTTAAAATGTTGGTTTTAACTTCAGTATAGTGATTTTCGAGTCTTTTTTTGTGTACTTTGAAGGAAACTGAGATTACTTTAAAAACTTCATGACTATTTTCTTGAAGGCATACTGGTGTCAGCATGCTTTAGGAGAGTTTTCAAATTTTGGAAGATGAGTATTGGCAATGGGAAAAGTAGTGTATATAATGTTTGTGCTATTATTTTGTAAAAGATTATGGTGAGGCCTTTGTTAACATCAGTGATAAGAATATCCAATAGAGTATGGTTTGGTTCAATGAGTTGACTCTTGAAGGATGAGGAAGACCCTCCAGAATCCTTTACTGTTTTTTTTGACAAAAAAATTTTTAGTTTCCTTTTTTGGTAATTTTTTCAGATGCGGATTTGTTTGGAAGAGAATTTTTTTTTCCTTCTTTTAAAATTGTTTTTTTAATATTATATTATTCCTTAAATCATAGGGTATTTTTTTTATAATGTTTAAAATTTTTTAATTAAAAAGTTGCTTTTTATTTATTTTTTTAAATAATTAAAATATTTTTCTAAAAATTTATATAATACTAGATATTGGACCCATCATTAAATGACAGGTTTTAATCGTCATGATTATGTGAATGTATATAGCAAATACATGTACTACGTACAGTATATTAATAATTGGAAACATTAGTATGTTTATCAGAATAAAGACCTTAATGCTTTTTCTTCGATATATGCTTTTGTGATTATCCATAAGGTTAAAGGTATATATTTTAAATCTTCTCTGCTTTCCGACTATAGTATATAGGATACACTTTATTGAAGCACTTCAGAATAGACAATATTCTTGGTATATTTTTTATGTTGTAATTGTTCAAGATAGATGCGTAGTCTCCGACGTGACACCACTCTTGAACATGCGACACATATTTGTCCATGTGAGAATACAGGAGTTGGAATATAAAGTCCAAGCCAGTTCATAGTTTGCCCTTGAGACTTGTGAATAGACATCGAAAATGCAAGTTTGCATGGAAATTGATAGCGTTTCAGAATAAAGGGCATTAGAGTGATTGTAGGGGACAGTGCAATGCGAGGTAAGAATATTCTTTTTCCAATCAGAAATCTAGTAACAGGTTCTACTTCAATAACGTGCCGTTGAAGTGCTCTAATAATTAATCGAGTTCCATTGCAAAGACCCTCAGCTATGTTGATATTGCGCAGTAAAATGATGGGAACGCCAATTTTAAGTGTCAATGCATGTGGCGGTAATTCACTAAGGTTTAATGAATTCAGAAAGTCGACCGAATAAAGATCTTCCTGAGCAGGATCATATGTTTCAGAGTTCTGATCTAAGGTATCCTCACTATAGTAAGTTATCTCTTCTCCAGGAAATCGAGCAAGCACTTCTGCATTTAACATGTCAACCTCATTATTTCGTGAAGCAAGAATTCCTCTCTCAATTAAATATGTCATATCTTGAGCTTGTGCATGCAGATTTGGGTATACAAAATCAATTAGTCCTTGATATGTATTACATTTAAGTACAATGTCCGAAGGTAAGGAAATATAACCGTTATTATATGTAACTTCAGGAATGCATCCCTCGCCAAGTTTTAGTAGCCAATTAGCAAATTCTCTTTGCATATCGGCATCTGAAGCATCAATTATCATTTGTAAACGCATGTTAATAGTCAATTTCATAACTTTAATATATTTCCATAGCCAGGACTGACATAGACAGGCATCAACAACATCCTCTCGTCCACCTTTTGGAATAACTGGAAGGAGTTGTCTAAAGTCACCACCAAATATAATAACTTTTCCACCAAATGGTTTGTGATTTAACTGTGGATTGTATGCACCCATGATATCTCGTAAAGTACGGTCCACAGCCTCAAATGCATGACGGTGCATCATGGGTGCTTCATCCCAGACTATTAGCATTGTTTGCCGGAGAAGTTTAGCAAGATCTGTTTGTATTGGTATGTTACACGTGGAGTCCTCATTGAGTGCAATGGGAATTTTGAAACATGAATGGGCAGTTCGGCCACCAGTAAGCAATAATGCAGCAATCCCAGAGGAGGCAACTGCTAGAGCAATTTTACCTTGTGATTGCACTTTTGCTAGAAGTATTGAATAGAGAAAAGTTTTTCCTGTATCAGCTGGTCCATCTATAAAGACGCATGCAGTATTATTTTTCTCAACTGCCTGTAATATTTCATCATATATAGCTCGTTGATCACTGTTCAAAAGACTTATATTTTGATTAACGAACTCTGCAAGTGTTAATCGATCATAATTTAACTCCTCAGCTATTAAGTGATTTTCTATATCATTTTCTGTGATGGGAATCGGCATATAAGGAAAATCTTTTAAAGTTTTTCCTTGTTGAATTAGAATTTTATCTAGAAGGCATAATGTTTGATTTTCAATATCATTTTCTGTTAACTGAAGGGTTGGAATCTGTGTCTGTTGTCGAGCTCGATATAGAATATCATCACTAAGTGCAGTCTTATACTTTGTCCAAAGACATTCAGGCTCTATTGGATAACAATTAATCAAAATGATGGCAAATAAGTGTTGCAATTGCTGTCCAGTTTGTATAGTTGATGCTTCTTCAAGACACTGATTTAATTCCAAGTTATCTCGAATAAGGCCTCTTGCCCGACATGCATCTTTGAATGTTATATATTCTACTCCATCTACAGTGCGCAAGTGTTCAAATGATTGTGCTCCACGTACTATATTTAGAAGCATACGTAGATAATAATGCTCACCCACACCTGGATGTACAAAGTACATGCGTCCAATAGCATTTCCACGTTCACGTAACTTCTACTTCTTAGAACATTTGTTAAAAACAAATTTATATGGAAATTGTGCATATGTGCATTTCTTTGCTTGGGCTGAAAGAGAGGGATCACTGTTAGCTTGAAACCACGCTGTTAAAGTTGTTTTTTGATCACTTGCCCGCTGTATAATAACATCTAATGATTCATTATCGGCAAACGTCACCAAATGCTGTCTGGGTAAATGCACAGCCAATCGAATAATATTAGGTGCCTCGCCATGCATTTTGCAGTGCATAATGCGCCAGAAGGATTCTGACGCTGACACATAGCGTGCATCAATATATTGTTGAATTTCATCTGTCACTTCTGGTATGTTTGAGTTAATATCTGTTTTATTTCTATTGCTGATCTCTATGGTTGCCCGATCATGTCCTTTATAAATATACTTAAATAAGTATTTTACTGCCTGAACAGAAGAACAAATCTCAACATTGATATGGCAGTTGTATTTTTTACAAAGATAAAGATTGTGAGGCACAACCCAGCGATTATCCAGCAGAACACCTTTTACTATTACTGTACGACCATCATTACGTCGACGATAGATAGGATATCCATCTTTATTTTCACAGGAAATTGATTGGAATGGTTTTGGAAATCCTTTAGAACACTTTTTATCCTTCATGCATGGTGCACGCATATTTAATGCTCCACAGGGTCCATGCATCATACACTTGACTACAGTTTCATGCTCTTTCGGATATGTGCCCGGATCAGGGATCTCTGCGGACACAATACGGTCATAGTCATTTGTGGTACGTGGTTTGTTCTCATCTGCTAGCATTATTAACATGTGCGCATGTAAGAGACCACGCATTTGGGATTCAATAACATAAATATTTGCTGTAGTTTTACCAAAGATCTCGTTTTTTAGAATGTCATCGAGTAATGCATTTAATTTCATATGAAAGACACGTGCACAAAGATCAGGACGATCCTGTGCACTTTGTCTAGCTAACAAAGCTGTTTGTATCTTGATCCAGTTTGGGTTACATGTCATTGTAATAAACAGGTCTGGTTTACCCATTTGTCCAACAATGGCCATGGCATCCTGATAGAGCTGTTGCATGTGACGTGGTCCACCAATGAAGCTAGATGGAAGTAAAATACGTTTCCCAATATGGGTTCCATTTTGTGGAAGTTCATCATTGGCTATAAGCATATCTTGTAATCCACTATATAAATCAATCCGAATTTGTTTCTGGTTTGACCTGAGATAGTAAAGCCGATTCTGTTCAATACAGGCATAGGCATCAACAATATATTGCTGAAACAGGCGTCCAGCTCTATGAAGAGCAAATGATTCCTGAGGTACATATCTATGCACTTGTAGGCGATAAGCATAATACTGCATCATTGTTACACGTCGTAAGTCTTCTTCCTCATTATTATCATGGTTTTCAAGGTTATCAGTATCATCACTTGTTTGATCACATGATGTATTACATGTAAGGATATTGGGATGCCATCCAGGCTCACCATGTGGAAAGAGCAATACATAATGCAATGGAATGTAAGAGGGATGAATTTGAGAAATTCGTTGAAGACCACCTTTTCGCTTATGTAAAATAATATCACAGTTTAAACATTCAGATTCTTGATTATTTCCAACTATAAGCACAGCAACTTCTGATGCAGTAGGTGTAGTGTACTGGTGTTTATTGCGTGATTTGACAATCATCATTTTTAGATCTTGTGTTGGATTTTCTCGTAGTAGCTGTGCAGCTTGCCGAAAGGTATGTACATACGGATTTACCTTATGAAGTATTTCTTGAAGCTCAAAAAGCATAAAATTGTCTAAATTGGGCATGATGCATTGTCTATATCTCTGTTGTTCATCTGTATCGTACATATAGATCTGGCAAAATAATGGGTTGGCTTGATTTTCTGGCAAAAGCGTGCCTATCTGGTGGTACATCTCTCCATGAATGCGAAAGGTATATACACCGCTAGTTCCTGCCACTCGCTCATCAATTTTAGCACCCATTGAAGTAAATGCCAAAGCCGAGTTATACATGTGGATTTTATTCCGAAAGTCACGTGCACGTGCATGGTCCTCAGTTAATAGAGCAAGTAAACCTGGAGGAGTTGGAGTTAGTGATGGTAGATGTACCTTATCCTTTGCACAGCATGTGCTAAAGATTGGCGCCTGCACTGTTCCAGCAACTCGTTCATTTTTCCAATGCAAGGCACCACAATTTACACAATTAATATCCATAGAACCCAAGTCATGTAATTGTATACTATTACTGTCATATTGATCTATTCGAGCTGTATGATGATTTGATTTTCTACGTTTGGTTCTTTGTTTTTTAATGCCTTCCATAGTTTTAGAAGTTACTCGCTGTGCATAAGTTTTCCTTCTAATTTTTCGCCTTTGTTCAGTCTGTTCGATTGTTTCATCCGCCATTCGTCGTGCATAAGTTTTTCGTTCCTGTGCACGCTGTTGTGTAAGCTGTTGATTAGTAAGAGTAGATGTGCGAAGTGCTCGTGCTTCTCTTGCAAGCCGGTTCTTTCGATCACGTGTATTTTCTGTATGCCCAGCATACATAGTTTCCTGTGACATCCGTTTTGTATATCGATCTCTGGCTAAACGATTACGGCATTCTCTTACTGTTTCAGAAGCTTGTGACACAGAATCTGTTGTTTCAATTTTAGTCGACTCAGAAGACATTCTATAATATAGTAAAAAGTAGAAGTGAGAGAAGCACGTGCCCAAGCAAAATACCAATTTATACAATTTATAAGCTTAAATAATACTAATAATAAGGTTAGTTACATGCGTTGTTTGAAAAATCCGATTGAACATTTTGGTAACATGAAGTATTAATATTTATACTTAATTCTCTAGATTTTCAAGATCCATGGCAATCTCATGATATTATCCTCATTCTTGACCATATTTTTTTTCTTGCTCTCATTTATCTGATCTATGCATTAACCTCGTTTTTATATACTGTATATATAGCCGGTTTCGTTGTGCAGTAGAACGAACAATAACTTTGTTAGAAAAAATCATTTATTTTTGAATTGATTGATTATCAATATATACAAATGTCGAAATCGGTACAAAAATATTAAGAAGTCTATTTTATTGACATCAGTGATGATATTATTAGTGATGATAAGTATATACAGTATGTTTGGTTCGTGTGAAGAGCGGCAATATCATAACTATTATCACATGATTGTAACTCAGCTCGAGTATATATACCATTGACCATAATATACGACTATAACATCACGTGAAAAAGCTCGACGCATGAGTCGAACTCTAAAAATTTATATAATAGATTAGTTTTAATTATATTTGAAGGCGACAAAAATGCTAGATATGATTTTTTCAAGATCCGATTTTTAAACGATACATATATAGTATAAATTTTAGGATCACCCCAGAAAATTTCTGGTCCGCCTTCGAAAATAATTACCCATATACTATCTATTGATAGTATTTATTTTTTATTTACTTAATAAAAATTTAGAGTTTAATTATAAGAAAAAATTTTTTAATAA